CTTATGATTTGGATTTATGTCAACGTCTAGGGCACTGCTTAGTTTATAGACAACTGAGTTTTCATTTGCTAAATTCATATTTCTTTGTTAAAAAAACTTTTAGGTGCTGAAAATGAAAAACAGGATCTGGAAAATGATGAATATATTATATATATATATATATATATATATATGTAGATGTTGAAAATGAAAACAAGATTTCGAAAATGATAGTGAAGATATGTCGTGTTTTAAAATGAAAAGTTGTTTTGCTGTCATTTTCCAAATTTTGTTTTTATTTTCCAATAGTTACATATATAAACATGTATAAATTTACAGATTTAAATGCAAAAGAGTATTCTACAGGGTATAATTTTTGTCAAAAAGAAATTTAATGTTTATGCAAGTTCCTATCCCTCCATTTTTTGCTGTCATTTTCCAAATTTTGTTTTTATTTTCCAATAGTTACATATATAAACATGTATAAATTTACAGATTTAAATGCAAAAGAGTATTCTACAGGGTATAATTTTTGTAAAAAAGAAATTTAATGTTTATGCAAGTTCCTATCCCTCCATTTTTTGAATGGTTAATGAAATTACTTCATTGAATTTCAGCTATTATTATTTACTTTTATTTGGTCTTCAAAGTGTAAATAGTGCTTGAAGTTGAAACCCTTTGACCATAAATGACATTTTCTGAAATTTTTTGTATTTTATGAATAATGGTAAAAAGGATCTTACTTGAATATTGTAGTCTGTTAGCAAATACTGCAGCTCAAATTTGTTCCACTTGGGATATTCATAGGTGGTTTTTGTGGAAACGATTTGAGTTGGCAGATACGTTTACAGATATATATTTGGAGAAATATAGCGAATCATTTCAAAAAACTTTTATATCCAGACTGTGGCGTGATCTTTTTCCTTTTGATGCATAGAGATGATTGATTTAACTCAAGCAGGAATTTTGATGTTCGGAATTAGGCAGCTTGCTTTTTTGTCCTAGAAGAATGTAGAAAACACCAAAGGGTTCCATGTATTACTTGGAATTATATATACGTACATGAAGAATGGAATTAGATAACGAATGTATGATAAAATGAACGGAAGCATATTAAAAGAGATATTGAATATGTCTAATAGGTTCACAATCTTTGTTTTGTGGCTTGCTATTATGTAGAGTTTTGTGGCAAGCCTGTGAATCTTTCCTTATTGCTTTCATAATTTACCTAGGCTATGTTTGGAACAGAAATTTGTGCAATTTATTTGCAGTAATTACTTCAAGTGGAACTTATTAGAGAATGAAAAAAAATTAAATCATATAGAATTTCATGCAGAATTGAACCAGCCATCTATTGTAATGGAATTTAGAACGCCATCGCAATTTCACATGAGATTTCCATATGCAATGAATTTTTATCATTTAAGGAAAATTTTCATAATGTTTTAGTTGAACTAAGTATAGATTTTTTAAATGAATTTCATGAAGACTAAGTTGTTCCAGACACCCTTAGTTATTGTAACTTTGTTTGGTTCCTAACATTTCTCTGGGTTTGCCAATGCAGTTCAAAAATCGACATGTTTTAGTGAGTAAATGAGGAACTGACTTGTCACTTTGAAATTAAATGGTCAACCATCAGAATATGGAAAAAGTTTCTCAGGATTGTCCATACCCAGGATGCTTCTTTTGTGTTATGAAGGAAGGAAATCCAAGCAAGAGGAGGGCCAGTATACTGAAATTCTTCAGAGATCTTCCTTCCCAGGATGATGATGGTCAGGTACTCCCAATTAGTGGGCTATGGAACACAGCCATGGCCCATCCCAATGATCCTGAGTTCATTGAGTTAGGAATATTTGAATGCATGGCTGCACTGATATGGAAAGGCTTAAAGAATCGGCGTTGGCTTTCTCATGACCAAAACATATACATTCCTTACTATGCTGCCCATATTATTGGCTCCTACACCATGAACATGGAAGAATTTGCAGAAACTGCTGTGCATGCTGGAGTTGTCCCTCCCTTGGTTGAACTTTTGAGAGGGAGGTTGACTTGGGTTGAACAAAGAGTGGCTGTTCGAGCTCTAGGGCATTTAGCTACATATGCTAATACTTTTCCTGCTGTAGCAAGTCATGGCGAAATCCTTGAGCTCTCCATTCAACTCGCAATGAGTTCATTGGAAATAGTATACTCCCATTTTTACCAATATGTTGACAGACGGCTTAGTTATCACTGTGATCTGCTTACACGAGGCATGGGTGGCGTGGAAATGGAGTCTCGTAAGGCAGAAGAATGGGCTAGTCAGTTGCAGTGCTGGTCGCTTCAGCTCATTAATTGCTTTGCTTTCAAGCCTGAGTTTCTTCCTACCATATGCAAGTCTGAATTCTTAATGAAACTACCTGGCATGTGGGGCGGGCTCGTCAATGAAAATTCACCCGCTGGTATTGGTTTATTAAGGACAATTTGTCATCACAAACTCGGTAGAGGACCTGTTGCTAGCTGTCCTGGAATTATTGAAGCACTCTGTAATATTGCTCGCTCATCGGATGATTGGCAGTATATGGCTATTGATTGTCTTCTATGGTTGCTCCAAGACCCTAGCACATGTCATAAGGTAAATTTCCTCTCTTCTTATCTGTTTAGCCATGATTCTATATGTACTTTGACTGGTGTTTTCTGATCCAATGGTAATCATAGTGCATAATTCAATGACTGGCTTATTTTTTATAATTTTATTCAAAATTATTTGAATGCACATCCCATGTAATTTTGATGTTTTCTTTGTCGTTTTATAAAAACAATATCCTCTCAGTGCAAATTGCATCTACTCTTTCATAAAAAATGGAGTGCATACCTTCTTGGTGAAAGAACCTTTGCATATGCTCATACAGATGGTTCACATAGTCATTTTAAGGTGCAGCTGAGAAGGCAGAGAACTTGCAAACTTTTCTGATGTTGGATGATTACTGTAAACTGATTAATTGAGCAATTTGACACAGTTATAACTGAGCCAAAAAAATATTGGGACAAATAATGTGCACAACTTGGAATTTCCAACTAGAAATTCAATTTTAACAAATAAATATGTCTTATATTTAAATTTTATTATAAATTATATATATCACTCTATTTTATCTTTTGTACCATTAGGATTCTATCTCTTTAAATTTAACCCTCTAAGTTTCAAAAAGAATACATAATACTTTGATATTTGTAAACAGGGAAGGTAATACCATTCCACTACAAATTGTCAAAGTTTTTGTTAAATGACATTTTTTGATGTGAATAATCACACTTGTGCCAAATGCTACTTAAATCCAAGGGAAATTTTGAATCTACAATAAAGTTTAGAAGAAACACAGTTTCGTACCTTGTAATTTGGCCCACTTTCAGTTTGATTCTTAAAGTTCTTTTGTGACATTCTGTAATTTGATTTTTTATCTTTTCACGTAAATCTCTTAGCTTTTAGAAGAAATTAGCACTTGTTTGGATTTTTTTTTAAAAAAATTAAGGCTAAACAAATCAAAATTAGAAAATGAAAATATCAAAAGAATACAAGATAATAAATTTAAAAAAGTAACAATATATGTATACTAAAAAAAAGAACATTGGCTACTGGAATGTCACTAAGAGGCCACTGAGATTCAACTGTAACTAAGACAAACCACAATGAGTAAATTGTGATTTGTCCAGAATTCTCTAATTTTCTTAGTAGCCAAACAGAACCTCTCAGGAACACACAGTCTTTCTTCCTTACAGTGCATTATTTTTATTTTTTCTTTTCTTCATTTTCTTTCCTCTTTTTGTTTACTTTCCATGACCTTTTTCCCTACTGTGGCAGTGCTTCATGGTTTCCATATTTCAACTGTGCTGATGAGTTAAACATCTCATGTTTTTTAATGCATCTATTGTAGGTTATTGATAAAGCAGTACCTGCACTTGTAGACCTTGCAGA